AAGCACCATAGCCAGGAACTGGGCTCGATCACTCTCCTGGGAGATCAGGCTCCTGAGAAGCCTGGCTGCCCTAGGGCTGGTGTATGTTTTGGGTTCAGGTCCAGGAGGCAACCCCAACAGCTGCTTTCACTGCCTTGCAGACCCTTTGGTTCTACACTGTTCCTGCCTCTTGACTCTTTGTAGACTTAGCTCATCTTTATCCAAAGCTTTGTCTTTTAGTGCAAGCTCTTTCATTTCCTGACCTTGCTCTTGATTTGCCCTTTGGTTTGGGGTAGCCTTGATTTCTCCATTTTCCTGAGCATACTTTCTGTCTGGAGCCTTGGGCTGGTCTGTCCTTGGAGACTGACTCCTGATCTTGAGTTTCCTCAGTCTCAGTGGCTGGTGCCACCCCAGCTGTAGTCACCATGTATAAGTATTCCCACTTCTGGCTCCTTAATAGCACCCACTTAAAGCCACCTTGCTAGATGGGAGTTATAATGTGTGATATCACACTGCTGTTGCAGAGAACTTGGCTCATTATTTTATCTGCATGATAATTTAGCATCTCTATAAGAGGTTGTAGCAGCAATATTGGGTGAAGGTTTAGGAGAATCTATCAGAGTGCATGAGAATGTCATGTCCCCTTAAGATAAATCACACTTGTCAAGATCTTCAACAGCTCATACTGTTTTCATAGACAATTAGGCACCTAAATGCCTTTGGACATAGTGCACCTGTTTTTTTTTTTTTTTAACTTGGAGTTCTTTCTAACATTGTGGATTCAAGCCAGAAAAGCACTCTAAACAGTGGTAATTTGGATTCTGTATTTTTTCAGTGCGCCATGGAAAACAACTCTAAGATATGTTTCTAGCTGAGTCAGGGCAACATCCCATCCCTGGACATGAGTAAGTACTTTACCCAGCCACTGATAATGAACTTCATTAACAGAAATAAAATTATTCCTGTCAAAAATGCCATATTTGTATTTCACAGCCGACATCAATGAAACTTTCTTAGTCTTGCCTGACTCCGACTTCAAATATAAATTATTCTGTGTACTCCTTAGACAGAAAAGAAAGAGCTGAAACCTCTCTCTACCCTTATCTTCTTTCACTTCATTCCCAGTAAAATTTAATTAGAGCCAAGCTCTACCCAGATGCCCAGAACCCACCTCTACACCACAGGAAATTATGCTTTAGGTATTTGGAAGTGGTCTGTCCTCTCCTCCTCTCCTCTGTGTTTTTTTCTTGGAGGAAATGATTGCTCCTGACTCATCTATCTACTCTCCAGAAGGCTCACAAACTCAGTTTACCAAATTAAAAAAATAAAAATACAAATAAATATAGTCCCAACAGAGCCTGAAATAAAATACTCCTTGACTAGAATTCTTTTCCAGTCTAGGAAAGATTTCTGCTTGCCCCAGTGGAGGCTTAATGATATGTGTTTCCATATCATTTTTAAGGAGTTTATAGCAAGAAAACAGGTAATCAAGTGAAGAACAGAAAAAAAAATGAGGGAAATTGGCATGTGAAATGTTAGTGTTGTCTTTCCCTTTTTAGACAGAATAGGTCCGTAAACATTCACTGCTCCTTTCCTTTAATATGTACACATTAGACCAAAACGTTCTTCTCAATGGTAAATTTAAAGCTGTGATTTCTTAGGTGAACACTTTACAAAAGCCCTGAACTCTTGGAAATAGTTTGAGAACCCTGACCCACCTACAACCCTTTGAAAAGTGCTCATCTAGAGTGAAAGCAATGATCTCATATGACCGAGCATTACAAATGCTCAGGCCTATATTTTCTGTCTCGTACAGTATGTGACATAGATTTGGATTTTTGCTCAGATCTACCTTCAATGACAATTACAAGGATAAAAAAAAGTCAGGCTATCCGAGGTCTGTCATTCCTTATCTATAGACTGACCTTAGACACTTCCTTTTTAACCTGTTTTTGTGATGCTGTCACAGTTTAAGAGCAGATGATTCTGCCTCAGTCCAAGAGGAAATGAATGAATGAGACCAGCTCACTCCACTTCATCTCTTTTCTCCAGTTGCATGGAGAAAGTACCTAGCCAAGGAAGATGGTATTGAGACAAGCAGCAGAGAGGAGAAATCCATTTGGGATGAGTTCTCTTCCTTCTTTTCTGTCATATGGGGCCGTGGGGACATCTGGATCTCTAGGGAACATCACTAAATAGGACCAGATAACCTCAAAATATTAGAGCCAGACCAGCTCTGTCATGTATGATTCACTTTCTGTATAACGACTAATAAAGGCAATATGTGTGGAACTAGGAAGGCTGCCAATATAGCTTCTTCCAAGAACTGTGAGTAATTAACTAGGTCCCTGGTTAATTTCTTTCATGAAAATGTGTTGAGTGAGATTCTTACAAGTGTTGCTTTTTGTGTGACGTCTCCATCTACTCCTAAACAGAACAAGTTCATTCAATTGGAAGAGAAGAAAAAATAAAATATGAAGTTTAAAAATCTTGGGGGTATTATTTTCTACAGATGTATAGCTTACATTTCTTTGCTACTCCTTAGTTGCTAATCTCCTACTAGTTTTCCTCTCAAAATGTGTTCTGTAACCCAGCCATATATATGTTGCATCCTTGCATAAAGTGCTGTGGCTTCTTGCTTTAGTCTGAGGTGTTTCAGTTCTCTGGTGTTTCAGAGGAAAAATCTTGCAAAACTTCCTTAAAATGGAAGAAACACAATTAGTTGCAGCATGTTCCATAGGATGAAAAATTCATCCCAAGGAACCATCTTGCCCTTCTTTGTGGATCGCCCATCACAGCAGTGAAAAAGAGGAAAAGACTATTCTCAACCTGCTACATCACTGTTGCTCTTGATTAAGAAAGCTTGAGTTCTTTTGCTCCGTGTAGTTTAGGCCGTTACGGCTCTTGTGGAAGCCCGTAGCTGTCCATGACTGAGAGCATGTCTCCTTAAAATCTGAGCATTTTCTTTCTTGCTACTACAGAGTGAGCAGACTGTGGGAGATGTTTCAGTTGCACAAAGCAAACTGAGCCCTCACTCTCTGCACCAAATGCAGCAGAGGATACTCCAAACAAACAAATAAAATGATGGATTGCTCGTTCTGACAGCAGGGCAGATTTTAAGTGACAAGAATCCTGTGAGGGATATGTTCAGTATGGAATACATATGATAGCAATTTAATATGTACAGCACACAGGGGAAAAATATATTAATATCATATGGTGCAATTGCATTGGGTATTTTAATTAAACTTAATTTTATCTCACTTGATACTGATAGGGAATGTTTTGAGAAATACACAAGCATTTCACTGAAATTGTTGGTTTAAACAACAGGATAGTATCCTCTTTCAAGATTTCAAAAATATTATGAACACAGCAGCTAAATGTGATGGAGAAATATTAAGCTGCTACTGGATGAGGTAATGAGGTGACAGAGCACAAAATATCTTACGAGTTGCCACATATTATTGTCCCTGAAATTCCAGTCTTCAGGAAATCTCTTGTCCAGTCTACATCCCCTTATGCTATTAATTTTTAAATACACATTTATCATAATCCTAGGAAATAAATAGATGTGATCAAGGCCCAGGAAAACCAAATGACAACAAAATATGTATCACTGTGAAAACATTCACATCTACTGCATGAACTAGAAAGGGACTGAGATTTGGCCAAAACAAGTGTAATCTATGATTTGCTGGGAACCTAGGAATTTTTATTTTATATTATATTATTTTATTTTATTTATTTATTTTTGTGAAATGTACCAGTTTGAATAGCACCAGCTTGTTTTTATTGCATAATTTGACTCTACGGATTGAATTGTTTTTGCCAAGTTTTGTCAATCTGCCTGGCCTGTTTCATACAATTTATGCATAGTTTATACATCATTCATCAACTCCATGTAAATGATGGTATTTTTTCCTTCTTTCTGCTCCTGTCACATAATATTGTCTACCCAGCTCTGACTAAATTATACAGCTCAACTTTATGCTATATGTATCCATTAAGTAATATAGCATTTTTTTCTTCAGTCCTTCAGTTTTTTCCTTTTTTGCTACTATCTTCCAGTTAATGACAGGTCTTTGTCAGCTGTGGGTTGATTCTCTAAAAAATAAATAATATACTAAATACTGTGTGCTATGCAATAAAAACAATTTATTTTCTGTATGTTGAGATTATTTACACACAGTGGCTTGTAGGGGAAAAAAAAGTGTGTGTACATATATATATATATATATATATATATATATATATATATATACATATTTCTTTTTCTCTTTTTGGAATTTCTTGAATTTGAGCTATCTTTTTTTCCCAAAAGTAAAAATATAAGGTTCCAAATGATAAGTGAGAGGAGCAGATGTCTCCAGAGCAAATCTTCCATATGAACAGCTCTGTCACTTTCCCATCGTTCTAGAGAAATCCCCACATGGTTTGAAGTAAAGCCACAAATGCTAAGAGAAAAGCATGCCATCTTCCCACTCAGTGTAAGACATCTGGATGGAGTGCAGGAACAGAGGGTGTGGTTCTTCTGCCCAGTCCTCCACATGAACTGCAGACTGCTCACCTAACTAGCTTGCTGCCTCAGTCTGAGCTGGAACCTGAATTAATATGTATGTGTGTCCACTTTCAAAAAGAAATTAGCCTTTATTAATGTGTATATGAATATATATTCATTTGAGCACTGGAATAGATTTCCTAGAGGGGTAGTGGATTTTCCCTCCTTGGAGATATTCAAAAGCCATCTGGACATGGTCTAGGTATTCCTGTGTGAGCAGGTGATTGGACCGGATGACCTCCAGAGGTCCCTTCCAACTTTTCCAAAACAACCATTCTGTGATTCTGTGAATATTTGAGCAAACTGTTTAGAGTATTTCTCAGTGATGGAGTGGGATTATTGTCAGAGTGTTGAACATCAAAGGGTTGGGTATTTCAGGTAGCTATACCTAACAGCTAGTAAATAGTCGGTTTATAGGTAATGAGATGTCTTACAGATTCACATAAAAAAATAATACATGTACAATCCTGAGTGCATAAATAAATCCATTTTCATATCAATAATAAATAAAATACATTATATATTTTAATTCACATTAAATTATTCAGGGACAAGAAGGGAATCATCCATACAGAACAGAGTGAGTGCAGCATAGGAACATTTATTATTTTTACAAGGTTTGTAGATTTTATGAGTGTGTGACAGTACAACTGGAAAGGCATCATCGTTTCTCCAAGGGACTGATCGATTTATTTATTTATTTATTTACTATCAGGTATTTATAACACCTCCAACTCCAAAGCACTTGAGAATATTCAGCAAGTTTAAAATGACAGTATTGCTGTGCATACATTTCTCTTCTTTTCATGCTATGCTATACAGAATCTGAACAATCCACCTATCTATATAAGACAATCGGCCTGGACTGGAACAGGAAGAAAATTGCATGATAAAGAAACAAAACCTCTAAAATCATACTAGAAACAGGAAGGCAAGATCCCCCTATTTTTCTTCTAGTCCTCAGTCTGTTTTATCTTTCTTCTAGTCCTCAGTCTATGCTTTTCTAGATCCACCTTATGAGTCTTCTTGTTGAGAGTGGCTGTGTGTAATGGACTGGTACTGTTCATACTATTGACTCATATTAAGCCAATTTACAGAACTGAAGCAACAACAACCACATTTCTGAATACTTGAGTATGTCTTCAGGTCTGCTTTCAATACTATCACTATATCTTTAAACATATAAGAAGACAGGCTTAGTGTCATTCTCTCTAACCATTAGGAAATTCAGAAACAAACTTAGGGCTTAGTGTTTGGAGATAAGGGTTACAACTTCTGCAGTTCCTGAGGTGCTGTGGGTAATTCATAATGGACTTATTGTTTCATGTAATGAAGCACTATGTACATAAAGTACTACATATTTTATTCAGGTACCCTGGCTTTCTGCAGTGGAAAAATGCATTGCAGATGAGCAGAACTCATAGTGCAACTACAGCAAAATGACCTGCACACACATCTCCTCGTTTTCCCACATAATACATTTCTATAAACCTAGGCACTGTTGGAATGGGGTAGCCTGGAACTGGAGTGGTCATTATGGGAGGGAAACAGGCATGAGGAAAAATCTGAAGAAGCTCTGACAATACAAGAATTTTACATTTAAAAAGTTACACTGAAAGAGGAGATGGAAGAGCAATGGATAAAAAGGGCAACATACCACCCGGAAAAATAACGTGTAAAAGGGAAGGGGACATTGGGAATGGCTAGTGTATCATGCCACTTCCCTCTGAATTTTCATTGTACTAAAGCAAAATACTTGGAGAATAATTCTAGGATTATAAATAATTTTGGTGTTGTTAATGCACTTTCTCATATTCATTTCCTATTAAGCAATTAAGTTTTATTCAAGCCATCTTCCGTGGATGACAAACTTCAATCTGAATACAAATATGCCCGTATTTGTGTTGGATGTGTTAAACCACTCATCCTCTCAGGTAGCATGGACAGTAGCATGTAACCATCAGAAGAAGCAACTAAAAGAATCTTCCAACTATAAGAATTTAACAATGTAGTTTAAAATAATCAGTTGTCAGATTTGGCTCAGCTTGTCTCAGCTTTTCATTTGGGTATAAGATTATTGAACCAATTTTCATGTACCCACTCAAAAAGAGAAGACATGAGGCATGATACCTGAAATTACCTCACTTATCACTGATTCAGAGCTTGACAAATCCCATTGGGAATGTGATGAATCTTACTAATTCTGGATTCAAATCCATAGTTCTGGTTATGCAGAAGATGATCTTTTTTATAAAATAAACCAGTCTAGATTCTAAAGATGGAAGTGATGAAGAAGCTAACATGTCCCTCCTTGTCTGTGTGATTCTAATATCCTTTATTTCTAACATGAATATTTCAAAACACATCTTTCTGATACTGGATCTTGTTATGGCTTTCTTTGCTGCATTAAAGGGTACTCAAAGCATTCCTGAAGCTTTCCAATTTTGCAAAATCCTTTTAAAGATGTGGATACTGGGGCTGGACACAGTATTCCAGCTGACAGTTGAATTACATTACCTTGAAATAAGGATTAACTGGGAAGTCAAAACTACATAACTTGGTGTAGTGACATTTCACCTTTAGTGACCCGGGTTTAAATTTGTGTTTGGTCAGCAATGGAAATTGTTTTGCTAATCTTATCCTAGCCCCTTCTGACGTTTTTCCATATCAAAAAAAAATCACTTGCATTGGCATAATTTTCTTTCTTGACTGAGGACAGGCCCAGCACTTGGGTGGCTGAATAACAGATTCGAACTGCAAGGACACAAGTATGAGGTAAACTGACAGAGCTGTGTCTGCCTCTGGCACACACTATCAGCTCCCGTGCTCCCAGACACAAACATGTTCTGAACAAGCGCTGTGTTTACATGAATCACAGCGGCTCACTTTCCTCTGCTGTGACCTCAGGCACAGCCAGCACAGAGGATACTTTCTCCCCTTTGCTTGGTGGTCCTGCCTGAACAACAGAGAAGGAAACAATTTTCTTTACAGCCCTTAGAATGAAATGATATTTCACAGCTGCAAAATTATATAAAGACTTGAGGCTCACAAGCTGAGCAACAGGAGATAACCCAATTTTAAAACCACTTTTGCACTATAGAATATTACCAAGCAATATGTGATGAAGAGAGCAAGATGTTTCCAAATGTTTTTCTTCAATAAGTTAAAAAAACTCTGACCACATACCAAGTAGGTAGGCAGTGATGTCTTCCAGATAATGAAGAGACAGAAAGGTAGGTCAGGAAGGAAAGAGACACAAAGAAAACCAGCCTTGCTATAGATACAGTTCACAAAAATTAGTATAAAGTATTTGTATCTATATGGGGCTTTAGATAGATTCATTAATATTTACGTATACACACATAAGCACATGCATAACTATTTTCCTGATATAGAGCTTTCGAGTTGATTTTTTTTTTTCCCCACTAGATATTAAAGCTGAGACATAGCTGTTTGGATTTATCTGACCTAAATCTAGCTTTACAAAATTTAGTTATTTACTTTAAGCTAGTCATCTCTCACCAGTTTATGATTGGTAGAGAGAGAGAAAATATCTGTAGCGAGTTATTTATGTCATACTCTTACACGTTTTCAGAATAAATGATTTGCCCTACAAAAGTTCTATCTCTTCCTGATACTTGATTAAGCATCAAAAACAAAACAAAACAAACAAACAAACAAAAAAGCTAGAGAAGTCATTTCTATCTTTATGTTGAATTTTTAGAAAACTTCTGGTTAGTAGTGATGGATACCCTCACCCATTCCAGTTGGAAATGTATATGGATATTAATGGCTACATGCAAACTGTTTAACTGAAGACCCAAATAATTATCAGCTCCTTTCCAGTACATCTTTACTACAATGGTGTCCAATCTTGTGAAGTAAACAAGATGAGGAATTGTTAGAAGACTTGTGTAAGAGTATGTATCTGTCTTAATTGTCAGAGCTACTGATATGAGTACCTGATATTCATAAGATGGTAAACTAGTACTCCAGAAAGGATATGAAGTAAGAGATTAATACAATGATAAATGCGTTAGTGGAAAAGGGTAAATTAACTCTTCATATTTTGTGTTAAAAAAAAAAAAAAAAAAAAAAAAAAAAAGCATATAGGGTAGCCTAGTCAAACTCCTGTTTGGAAAGTTATGATAAGCCAACTCTATACATCTGTGGTAAGGAAAATAATTTGTTTGCTGAAGGTTTTGGTAGCTGAAGACTTTCATGTAACCTAAATACCCTGCAAATTCTGGAATGGTGCCCTTGAAGTGAATGAAGTAAATGAATTATTATTCAAAATCTGGGCAAGTTGGTTTGGCAGGATACTACCATTGCATGAGGGCGGTGGGGGAGAATGACAGCAACACACAGACTGTCTTTGCCAGAGGTAACCTGTATGTTTCCACTGTTTTGCTGAAGAAAGAGTTGGCATGTGGGAAGCTCCATCATTCTGGGTTAGAAACATCATTACGGTTTCCCTGTCCCCCTAGAAGCGTGAGGAGCAGCAAGCCTGATCATCTGATACTCTTCATCCCACTTATATTCCTTTTCAACTCTGCCTCTCTGGCCCATGAGAGGAATACCCTGGCTCTCATCCTCTCTTTGGGGTGGCAAAATTCAGGCTTGCTTGCACAAACAAGACCTCACAAGCCATCTCTGATCATTAAATTATGATAACTATGAAGTGTATAGACACGGACAGCTAAGCATATGGCATGAGGAGCTGTGTAGAAGAGCTTGAAATACTCTTGCATGTAAAAACATAGGTTTTATTTCAAATTGATGTAGTCTACACTGAAATGGCAACTCCTTTTGCAGTCCAGAAGACCTGTAATTTGCACTAATCAGTTTTTAAAATCCCAGATAAAACATTGTTTTGAGTCAAATGGTCAATTATTATAAAATAAATGTATAATTTCTTGTTTTGTTGTAAATGACAATTTCCTTGATTTTATCAATAAATAAATAAATAAAAGGTAACAGAACATTTTAAATAGATACATCACCATTCTGCTTCAAAGTTTTTATTTTCTCCTGAGTCTGTTTAAAACTTCCTGGAGAAAATACAAGATTCTTCTTCAAGCAGAAACATTCCTCAATAACATTTTCTTTTAAAAAGTTCTTGATGAGATGTATTTGGACTTCTGACCAGCTATTGCCTTATATCATTTCATCACTGAGAACAGTAAAAAGGAGCCTCACTTGGTGGAAAAGAAATAACATCCATGCAACCTCATCTGGAAGAGTATTAGTGGTAGCAGAGAACTACAAGGCATTCATCTGGTTAGTAGATCTTCAAAGCTTGTGAAGTAGAAATGGTTCCCACTTCAAAAGGAATAATGGTAAAATTCAGCTTATAATTCAGACTGAAAGAATAATATGAATGAATTGTGTACTTTCCTGCCAATTAATAAGCAATAGGAGATAAGGGTTTTCAGATTTGAAAAAGAAACAGTCTAGTGAACAAATCAATTCAATTCGTAAAGTAATTTTGGACTTTTAGGGATTTCAATAGTTATAGATATATATGCAGAGTTGTAACAATTACAAAACCAACAGTGTAATACACATTACCTGTATTTATACATGTTTACCATTCAAACTACATGGTATTTTTCAAAAAAAAAACATCTGTATGTAGTGGATTTTCAGAAGTCTTAACTGTTATCTTACTGTCAGCAGCCATTTAAGATAATAGTGAAAATTCCCTGGTTGGAAATTGAACTAGGGCAATGCTGAACACATCTGGAAATATCGCTTGTGCTGTGAAAACAGTAGAAGTGATAATTTGCATCTTTCCAAGCTGAGATATTTAGTGATTTCCCCACATATTATTAGTATGTAATTAGTTGGGCAGTTAACAGTGCACAAGAGAAAGTTGGAAGATGGACTACCAATAAACTCTTTCGAGGATGTCAGCACCATCAAATATTAGTGACCTACACTAGAAGCCTAATAAAAGAGCCTAAACATCTATGCAGTCACAGCATGGGGGCTCTCTTCATGGTTTAGACTCCTTATTTACTCATCTGAATTGGGCACTGGAAGACAAACAAGGAAACCAGTCTTTTAAAAATGTGATGTTCTTCATCATACAAAATGATGAAGATTGTGTGCCATAAATCTATTGAGTGAACCCTAGTTGCAAATCAGTGTGGCATACCAAACAAGGCTCTTTCACTCCATCTAGAGCCAGACTGGCTTGGTTTTCAGCTCAACCACCTGAAAACTGGTTTCATCATTCAACCAAAGTCATTTGGTCAAAAAATATAGGAGATGAATGTGTTTCCATCACAAGTCTATTAAAATCTCCTATTTTGGCTTTGCTCCATCTAGTGGTAATCAGACCAAAATTCTCTTTCCTGCTTCTGCTCAGAAGTTGCAAAGCATGCAGTATAGCTAAAAGCCCATGTTTGATGTGCTTGGCATTGTTCGGGCATGTTTGCAGTTAGTGAAGCGCAAAAGAAGTCAATGAATTGGCTTTGATGTGTTCGCTGCTGCCAATGTGTTTCCCATTAGACCACAGCGCCCTTGGTAATGAAGCCCCATACAGGAAGTGTCAGAAAGAAGGCAGGAGGAGACAGCGCCTTATGTGGATGGAAGCAAAGGTCCACGGGATGCATGTAAACAAGGGGTGTTATGTCAGCAGGATTTGAGGGAGAGGCATTCTTAGCTTCTGCTGAAGATTTCTTGGGGAATAGAAAGTGAATGGTGTAGAGACAGATTCATCCATAGTCACTTGCGTCCTGGAGTCCTAGTCAAAAATTTTGGAACAAATCTTGTTTTGTATGCTGAAAACAGACTAGTTCTTCTAGGTATTCATGCAGTACTCTCAATTAATTTTTCTCTGATAATTTACCTGAGCATGTGACCCTGGAGTTTCCATGTGAGTTTTCAAATGAGATAGAAAATGAGTCACATCTCTCTCTGTGTCCAAATTGGCATTCAGAAGCAAAGGATCCATTTTGGGCATATCAGTTCTGACATTAATTTTCTGTGATTAAGGTTTGGGCTTTGTGTTGGATTTAGATGTATTACATGGTCTGTGCAAACACCAGTGGGATCTGTAAGTTTTAATTAAACGTCGAAAATTGTTTATGTGTGTGTATTTGTGTGTGCACACACACAATGTATATTATTATACATATACATTTACATAATAATGTAGCTGTTTGCTAGATATCTTAGCAAAGAATCTGTGTCTCATTCTGCTGTATTTTTTATAACAGATAATTAAAATTAATCTTTCTGAGATTTTGGATGAAAGCCACTGTAGGAATGTATCTTATATGACCTCTCTATCAATCAGGATAACAAAAAACTCTGAATATATTGAGATAATTTCTATAAAGCATCACTGAATCATGTCTCTGTTTTCACTTAAATCGTATAGTAATTAGTAAGTGATGATCTGGTTTAGAAGAAAGAACACATTGTTTTTGTACACTGTGCTTTGTGTACTGTTTGGGCTAAATTAAGACAAATAACCAAGACAATATTTTGCTTTGATATCAGTAAATATTGGCATCAAGAAACCACTGCCCCATTATTTTTAATGGGAAGAATTCAGTCTAAACCTTTTTTTCATCAAGTTAAGGAGGTGATGTCATATGGTAAAGGCTGGATATTCAAAATAAATCACTAACAAGTCATTTTGGCTGAGCATTATGTGTATCAGATATGCAATTGAATAAGTCTGGAAGAAAATGCATTATTGTCATAAGACTTAGGAGTCAGAGCCTGATGAGTTTGTATATCTTGCAAACTCTTACACAAGTAACCAGACATTTCCGGCACGACTCAACATTTTTCAGAGAATGTGCTAGACTTTATAGGAAATAACTTTGGATTATGCATTTAGATCCTGACTCGGCACCCTCTATGAATGCTTTTCTCTCTTCCTTTAGAGTCCTGCACGACATGCCTGTCAAATACACATTGTAATACCATTGCAACATCCAAAGTGAGCAAAGGACTGAGTATTGTATATTCATTCATGTGTTCCAGAGCTGCATTCCTGGCAACACCACAGCAGCTAATAATTATGGGCCTTCTTCCATACTACACTCAGTCTATGATCCTGAGTGTCTATTTAGAGCCCAGTGAGCCAAAACTCCCTATTATCCAGAAATATCTCTGGTCCCCTATTTTTTTATTTTTATTTTATTTTTTTTCCCTCTACCTACAGTGCAAGGAAATGTTTTGGCTGCTGCTGGGCTTCGCTCCACATGCAGCAGGTCATAGATGTGTAGGTGTCTGCCTATGGGTGTCTGGCTCCAATGTGGATGTCCTGAATGATGAGTTAAGCTCCCTGCAGGGGTGTGTGTGTGGGAGGGAGATTTAAGTGCCTCATAGACAGCGTGTGGTATCCTAAAGTTCTCAGGGTAATTATGAATGCTCCTGCTAATTTCATCTGCAGTAAATCCTAAAAGATTTTATCAGCAGGAGGCATATAAAAATAAGCTCATTGCTCTTTCTTACAAATCACCTATGATTTTTTTTCCTAATTTCACTACCTAGCCATACAAATTGATAGAAAGCAGAGTAGCAGTGGACAAATTAGTGTCTTTGCCTGATAACAACATAGCAGACATCCCTCCAGAAAAGGAGCTATACCAATACAAGCTTGGTTTATGTGAGACTCAGTTTTTTTCTGTAGCGTCACTGTAGATCTACCCTGCAGAAAATCAGAGCAGATGTGTAGTGTCTGTGGAAATAGGAGCCTTCCTTTCTCATCTACCTGGCAGTGATACCTCAGACATGCATTAGAACCTGGGCAGGGCATTTCTCATGCCATAAATTCTGGAGGTGGTTGAATATTTTCACAGTCAAAGTGAGGCTAGAAAAAAAAGTTGGCTTGTATCCAGGACATTCTGTTTTTCATTTCACCTGAACTGTTTAGAATTTTTACAACTGAAAATTGCTTCTTTCCATCTGTGAAGCATTTGCTTCTTGGAAAAGATGCACAAAGCTAAGACATGAAAGACATTTGAAATAAATAAATAAACTAATGCATTCTTTGGAGAATCCATGCTGTTTCTCTACTGCTCCCCATTTTCTTATGAAGACCTCTACACAGATGGAGGGCAGCCATGGTCTCCTCAGCAGTAACAAGGAATGGAAAATAATTCCAGTTAATCAATTACAGTAGCTAGTATGCCCGCAGTCTTAATATGTTTATTTCTAAAGTGTAGGACAGAAACCAGTTTGGGGTAGGGGGGAGGCATCTTTCATATATAAGCATTCATAAATGTTATAATTCATTAATTTTTTAATAAAATTTTATGTAGAAAGACTAGCTTACCTAATACGATCAGCTGTGAATACTACTGCCCAATATAAACATTTTGAGCAGGAATGCCATGGTGATGCCATGTGAGGCTGCAACATGCACTTTAGGAACAATTTGTGTCTGTGCTTTCTGTCACAAAGGCAGATGAAGACTGACTGTTGTTTTATATGGATAGGAAGCAGAGGTATAACAATGCTCTCCATAAGCTCTCGGAATTTACAAGTACCCAGTAACAGAAATAAATGCAATGGTGGTTTAAAGCCACCTTCAGATCTCCTCCTTCTGCCTGTGACTTCTGTCATCATCCATCTTTGAAAGGCATCACACAAAAACTTATCCAGAGACATTTCTGAACAAAAATTGTGTTAGGGAATCAAGAAATTTTCCACTGCCTTTTGATCTGAAATGAGTACAGTAAAGCAGAGAGAACAATCTTCAAGCAAGGAAAGCAATTGGGGCCAGATACTCACTTGGAACAACTGGAAGTCTTTCCATTGACCTCAGCCGAACACTGCTAGCTCATTTCAGCTGCAAAACTTACCCTTAAAAATATTTAATATTTCTCACTGAAAAGGAGCTGCCAAGTGTTCTTCCACATATTTCTGGTAGTGATGAAGATCAGTTGGTGATAATTACCAAGTAATTATCCCTGCCCAGATGCAGGGATCTGTGTGGACTAACTCTTTTGCTGGTTTAGCATTCAGAAAGAGAAAGTTGTGTTAGCAGACAATAGGAAAAAATCTTGGGTTGTCCTTTTTAAAAGAAATTAATTATTTGATGGGACTTCTCTTAATTGTTGCTTTGCAGTGCCAAAATAGTAGAAACAGTTAATTCAGAAAATGACACACCATTCTTTTAACTGTCAGGTACACTGATTTGCAGCGAGATGGTTGTACCAGCCTCCATGGTCCACCATACCAGAGACATTTTCTTCATGATTTTATTGTTGGAGCTTTGGTTAAGTTGTATTTGAGGAATGCAGAAAAGTAGCCAGGTCTGGTAAGGACCCAATGAATCAGGTTGATATTCAGGTAGAAAGCTTGGCTAGTTAGGAAGAAAGCACCAAGAATTTATTCTTTCTTTTGTAACTACTCTGGAATACAAAGAGCATGGGATCTGATCCCTTTCTGAAGCTTGTACACTGCTGTTAAAACACTCAAGAGCAAACCTCCTGTTCTAAAAACTTCTCCTTGACTAACAGGAATTTTGGCTGTAAAACTATCAAGCTTTGAGTAAAAAACAAAACAAAACAAAACAAAAACAAAGAACAAACAAAAAACTTTAAGGCTTTGAATTTGATCTCATAGCAAGGTGGTGTTCTGTAGATGAATTTGCAAACCTCAGTTATATCCCTACGCAATAGTCAGAGCTATCGGACTCTCCTTAATGTGTTACACAAAAGGGCTGCAGCACACAAAGCCTGGAACACATCAGTTTACAGATCCCAAGAGGGTCCTGTGGAGTCTATTACTTTGATGAAGTGGTATTTAAAATTGCATTACCCAGCAGTTGTTTAACCCTCCAGATGTTGCCCCTGTGGAGTGTTTAATACGACGTGAAGCACCGGTAGGCTAGGCCATAACCTCATGTCATCTTTTCAGCAGGTCACATCAGGTCTTACTATCTTCTACTAAATCAATACAGGATGACCTGACAGCAATTTTCTTCCTCTGCTGTGATTTTTACAATACTGAATAGAAAGAAAAAAAAAATAGAGAAAGGAAAAAAATCAATCCAAACTAAGAGGAGAAATGAAGGAGATCTGAAATCAAACAAACTCTAAGAAACTTTTGTTCAGCTAGGTTCATATTTTTTTTCCGTTTGCTTTAATAGCTCAGATAAGGCAGCCTGATGCTGCCATCTGCTGTTTCTGCTGCTTGTGACTTTTCTCTTCTTTTTCAATGCATCTATAAGCAGCTACAAAGAAATCATCATGAATAAATAAAAGCTATTTCTAAATGCAAATACCCTGTATCAAAATCCCATTTAACATATACTATCTGGCAGCATTTTTGAATATTTTTACAGTGAGCTAACAGCGATTCTTATGTTCACCAAAATGATGAAGCGTGCTTCTGAGTTCAGCTAATTTTATTTCTTTATGATTGAGTGAAGTTTTAGAAATATTTACTCAGAAATCTCATGTGGCTCACAGATCAAGGACTTGATGCATTTTCTGTGTTTTTCATGGCTTAAATAGTTGGTGTTACAGGTATTTGTTTTACAGAGCTGGCTTCCAAAGTTGATTAACATCAATAGAATGGCTTCCTTTGATTACAGCAGGCATTTGCTAGGTCAGACCTGCTGATTTAGCAAATCAGACAGACCTAGCTTTCTGTCTGAAGGCCAAATTTTCTCTAAAGATTGTCTGGGGCTGCAGACTGGAACTTTAGCATCACGCTTTTCAGAATGTGAACAAAATCCCTGAGTCTACCCGTAGGAATTCAATTGGTGTATCATCATCCTGATACCTAGCTGGCAGTGAATTTGACAACATTTGCATTGAAACATATTCCTGCCAGGTTTACTGTTTTGAAGAAACAGATAGAAATAAGGCTAGAGGAGTGAACTCTTTTTTTGTTCTGTTTCATTTTAGCACAAACAAACTTGAACTTCTATAAACTTAAGGGTATTAACAACAGGAAGTTGAAAAGCACAAAAGTTTACCATTACACAAAACTCTATTTTTCTGTCTTCTTACTTTCATGTGAAGACCTATTTTCTCTTTTCAGCCAAAACTTTATGAAAGTTTTCAACAGGGCCAAGATTTCAGTCCTTGCTGGCCAGTGTTAGCACAAATGTGACCACTGTTATTATGATTACATCTAAAGAGAACTGGTGCTTAGAGAAAATAACAGTTTACTGGCCTCTCTTTTAGTGAAGTTTTTGACATTCAAGTATCAAGTATGTACACTTGTGTTGAACTCACTATGCCAGGACAAATAATCTCTTGATACATGACTGCAGCCGCAAAACTCAATGCCAGCATCGTTCTATCAAATTTGAAAGGATTGACCACTTCCTTTCATTGTTTGAAAACCTGTGTAGGAATGTAAAGAAGATATCTGTAGCACATGACAGCATGGGAATGGATTGTCTGTCACACCAAACTGTTGACAGACTTGTTTTCCATCAGCTGCTTAGCCTTCTGCTATTCTAACAGCCCTACAGAATAAAACCTGCATCTTTCAGCTGCTTGTGGCATCTCCCAGCCTGATATTAACAGCGGTAGTAAAGCAGCAATTATTGTCACAAGGGATCCTATTTTTTTGAAATAAATGAAGCTGGTACTTTGAATTTTGACCAGAGATGTACTGTAACTTCTAGCTTGGAGGAATGCTTCTTTTCACCTTTACAGGTCCATCTCCTTCATCACTTACCTCTTCCCAAAATGCAAGCCTTCAGTCTTTTGACAGCAAGAAGCACCTTTGCATCACTTCAGGATGAAAGAGCTAGAGTTAAAAAGTATTGGTTTGGGTGTGCATGTCTGTGTTTGTGTGGAAAGAATTAAGCAAGTTAAATGAGCAGATTTGTGCTTACAGAATGGCAGACTTCTTGCTGCAGATGCAGTTATTATCAGTGGGAGAGGATGGACTCCAGTCCTTGGAACTGCATCGGTAACTCCAGGGTTGATGTGTAACCACCACTTCAGCTTTAAGACTGAGAGCATGCTGCCAAAGATTCAGTAGACCCAGACTGTGGGAGCCAACCTTATAATTGCTACTAATACACCCAGAACCTATTTTAAAATCTCTTCCTTTTCCTTACTTCCCTTCCATCTGTTGTTGTTGAGTTCAAATATCAACAGTCAGTGTAAGCATTTAGTGTGATGTAAAATGGAAGTGAATTGGCAATAATTAAAAAGATCGGATATGCAAATGTGTGGAGATATTCTATCTAAAGATAGAAAATCTCTTCAGTGTATTTCAGTTGCAACTGGCATGACTTGATGGGAAGGAAGCAATATTTTCAATTTATCTCACCAGATTGGAGACATTTGTGCTCACAGTGTGCCTGTAAATGTAGGCCTGGAGCTGGAGGTCATGTTCAAGTCTATTGGGACTATCCAGGAAATAAAACCATGTACTTCATGTTATTTACTTGGGAACATTCATGTTTCCTTTCTTGGTACTTTAGGGGAGAGAGAGAGAGCACACAAAGGAAGCAAGCCATTGCAGGTTATATGGCAACTGTGGGCCAAATAACAATTCACCTTTTCAGAGCAGGCATACTCCAATAGTGAAAGTAACCAGAAACAGCTGATCTGACCTTTTAAAATCAATACTGTCATTTGCACAGACTTCAAGATGTGAGCTGCCCCTACGCATCCTCAGAAATATTTCCTTGTTTTGTGAGGACTGCAAGAAAAGTTTGCAAAGACAACATTTTAATGACTGATTTGGAAAAGAAAGACATCAGTAGTTCATTTGCTCACCACAGTACTCCCAGTTTGCATTCTCTTCCCTTTCACAGACCAGTCAGAACCCCCAGGGAACAGGGCTCCTCATCTCAAATAACTGTTACAGGGCAGTCACTTATCAGGGCACCCACCGACAGGAGCTGATACGTAAACGTGTGCTTGTGGAAATGGAGCTGTAGCTTTTGTTCTTATCCCTAACTCATACATTATGTCAGTTCCCAACATTCCCAAACCACCATTCACCATAGTTGTTAACATCAAGAAAATCTCCCCAGGTCTTCTTGGGGACAAAGACTATTTATTAAAAAACAGATTTTGCTGGATCTTACTGCATGGTTCAGTTTACTTTTTGGTACAAATTTCTTATTTAAATGGTTTACATATTAGTTAAGGACAGTTAAGTCCTTAATTCATCAAAATTTGGTCTCATTTGAACTGACAATTCCCATTCTAAGACCTGTATTTTTGGTATAATTCTTGTCACAGTACCATTTTCCAAATGTCAAAGCTTCAAAAGTTTAAACTGCTATTTCCACTGTCCTGTATCCAATAGAAGAAACATATTTTTACTGCATAGGAAAATGACTTGTTTCATGCTTCTTATATATTATCTTTATTAAATATTTGGACAGATATGCATCCATTTATTATATGAATAATCTATGGCTTCTTAGTCTGTAAATGCTGGCTGAAAGTTCACAAGAGCAGTCTTTTCTGTGAACTTTCAGTATTTCTATGTTCAGTCACTGCAATAAATCCTGACACTATTGCCTGCTTAGAAGTAATTTGCATTGTACCCCTATGGCTAAAACAGGGAAGCTGGGCATTCTACATCTGGGTATTTCATAATCTCTGAGCAGCTTGATTGAAGCTTGATTTTCTTCTGATATAATGCAGGTTGTTCTGAGGAGAATGCATAATCACGATTATCTACTAGTCAAATCCTTAGTGGCTAACATAAAAAGCTTCACTACTGCTCAGTGCTAATAGAGGTTTCACTTGAGCAGAGCTTATTGAAGCATTTTGTAGTCACTAGAAAAAAAATGTTCTTTGTGCGTGCTGTAGTTCAGAGCTGTAAAGTCTTTATGAATGGTTACTCTCAAAGCGCTACAGAAGTTCCCCGGTTCAAGGTGGCTCCTGGCTCCTCGGAAAAATGAATGTGGGATTCCAGCCTGGGAGGAGAGAAATAAGTGAAAAAGGAGCATCCTTGACCTAGGCAGGAGAGTTCTGCCTAGTGCAGCTCTGCAGCAGTTACCAGTCAGTACTAAGCTGGACCAGAAGAAGGAACAAAGGTGAGCACTGACCCCTGTAAACATGAGCATCAGTGAATGCAAAGTCCCAACCACAGTAAAAGCTCCTCAAGCCTTATTTGTCAGAGTACAGATTTTCAGATTATAAAACCAGAAGTCGCCACGTGGTCATGTAACCACACCATTTCAGACACAGAACATCCTTGAATTAGATCCAGTTTAAACTTGAGTACATCTTTTAGATTAAAAAAACAAAACAAAACAAAACAAAACAAGCAAAAAAAAATCCATTCTCAATTTAAAAATTACTAATGTAAGAAAAGCCACAATAGCCAATAGCCTATTGTAATCCATGCCAATAACTGCGTATTTCACTGATGAAATGTGTAGCCATTTCCTCCTGTGAATCAGATCTTTTTATATCATTATTTTCTAGATTGGAAGAGCATTAGTCCTGAAGTACTCACCGCCTGCCTTTAACCAACCCTTTTTTTTTTTTTTTTTTTTTTTTTTTTTTCTGTTAGAGGACTGGGTTCCTGAAGCTTCTGCTAGAAGGTATTTTTCCAGTAATTTAATTGCTCTCGAAGCTGTTGCCTGCACCCTCTTCACTTTTCAGGCAGATTGTAGGAATGCCTGAAGCATGCTTCAGAGCTCAACACACATATTGATGAAACAAGTCAAAAATATATATTCCCAGGAATTGCAGCAGTTTGGGACCAGTTTTACACTTGGAATTCATGTCCAGACAATGATCTGGACATAAGTCTATGTGTCTTGTTAATCTCTCCTGTCCCTGGTGGAGAGTGGTCCCACCAGCAAGCACAGCCTGTGCTCTGTGTCTCTCTATGCCTGATCTCATATTTTCCTGCAGTAAAAATGACTGGTTTTCATTTGCCTGCCATCAAATGATCAAGCACTTCAGATTTTCTCTTCTAGAGATCTTTTAATCCTCATTACATATGATAACCCTAATCTTTGTAACATATGACAATGTTTTTAGTGATGGTTTTACTCTCCTGCCAGACTTAATAATACTACTGTTACTACTAATAAAACTAGTACCATATTTTTGCAGAATACTACCAGAAACAGAGCTACTCCCTGTTGAACTGTTCCACTGCAGAAACATTAGCTTGTAACATCATTATTCTGTGTAGCTTCATTTCCCTGAAGCCACACATTATTATTCACTTCATGTCTAAGGTATTATCCAGAGTTACTGTGCTGAATTTTCACCTCAGAGATGTCTCTCTCAAGTGATGAAAGGAATCTTGGCAAGCAGAAATCACTTTCTCTATTTCTATCATGTTTTTCAGCAGAGGGTGCCAAAGTCATTTATTAATTAATCAGCTCCATGTATTAATTGAAATATATCCTTAATATACTAATTGAAATAATAGATTATACATAGGTAAAGTTAAAGCCATGACAAAGATAAATAAAAGTTTAATGAGAATTTAATGACAGAGTGTGCAGAGGACCCTGAGAGAACAAGGGAAACAACCCTCTGGTGCTTGGCTTTACTCATGAAGGCAAATTTATTTTCTTTCTAAAACTGGTTCATACTCAGTCTTGACTCCATGTGTCAACTCTCTCTTTCCCCTTTTTCAGATGCCGAATGTTTTTTGATATGTTTGATAAGTGTCCATCAAACAATTCCCATCAGTCTGCCAAAAAGCCACATGTATCACAATGGAAAAAAAAAATTAAAAAAAATCCCCTTGACTCTTCTAGATTAATTTCTGCAAAAATAACCATCTACAAATAACCAGGGATGCATATTTTCCATGATTCATGCTGCAGAATCCGCCATAGACTGTGGAGCAGTTGTACAGAATCTAAGCTTTCACACAAAAATAATGTTACCAGCCTGTATGATGGTGAGAAGCCTTCCAAAACAGGAACTGAACATGAATCAAGTCAGGATGACTCAGATTGTTTTTGTGATTCTGCAGAGAGACAATCTGAGATAATAGCTGGGTTGTATGAACTATGGCTATAATTTATTACAGTAAAAATTCAAAATACAATGACATATTCATATTGCTGTTGCATGTTAGGTTTTTACTTTTACTATGTGTTTTGAGAACACTATAATACTTTTAATACTAGTCCCTCTGTGTGAATAGATGCATAGAATACATTTATAAAAGTCTTCTGAATGCTTTTTAGGCAATATGCAAAGTTTCACCTCAACAAACATAGAAACATCCCTTTTGTGGGCTGAGTAAGTACATTTTGATACGAAGACAGTACTGTCACAGCAGGACTGAGCTACAAAGGTAGGTAGCCAGCCTTAGGACACTGAGGAATTCATTATATGACTGTTATGTGTTGAAGATTGAAGGTTACAACAGAACAAAACTTCCTTTCCAGATGGAGAATACAAAAAAAAATAAATAAATAAAATAAAAAGAACCACTGGGAAAAATAAACCTGAGCCGTTTTTGGTTAAATACATAAATGTGATTTGTGCTACTTTTGATACAAAGAAAGAAATACACCCAGTCTATTTCTGTTTCACAGAATAAAATTACTACCCAGGTGCTGTAGCGAGTGTAGTGTGGGCAGCACAAAATATCAGTACAAGGGCATCTATGATTTTTGTGTGCTGTACAGGCAAGTTAAGTAAATGGTTTTAATTTAACCAATCCGATCTCATGACTCAAGGTGAGAAAAATTCTTCTTTAGTTCTGTACTTCGTCTTTGCCAGAAAGCTGTTCTCAGTCAAGACTATATTTATCCATTATTTACCAGTTTAGTCAACTGAGGACAAGTTGTACTGAAAATATTTTTTTAAATCAGCCAGCCAGGCAGCAATAAGGATAAAGAGGAAAGAAAAAATGCAACAGAAGGAGTCAGAAGAAACACATCTAAAATTCCAGGGAAAACCTTTCCATTGACTTTACTAGGATTTGGCTGAGATCTGAAGTAAGCAGATCAGAATGATTGTTATTAAAATATGGGAAAGACTAGAGACTTTGAATAAGAAGAGGAGGCAGAGAAAGGGAAGAAGAGAGAACTTTCCAAGTTCCCAAGTGTCTTGGTTTCAGTTAGGACAGAGTTAATTTTTCTCCTAGTAGCTGGTAGGGTGCTATGTTTTGGATTAGGATGAGAAGAGTGCTGATAACATGCTGATGTTTTAATTGTTGTAGAGCAGTGCTTATACTAAGGCAAGGACTTTTCAGCTTCTTGCTCTGTCCTGCCAGTGGGCTGGCTAGGGGTGCAGCAAGAGCTGGGAGGACACAGACCCAGGACAGCTGACACAAACTAGCCAAAAGGGTATTCCAGACATCATGCTAAACAATATATAGGGGTGGCTAGCCGGGGGGGGGGGGGGGGGGCAGCTGCTTGAGGATAGGCTGGGCATGGGTCAGCAGATGGTGAGCAATTGCATTGTGCATCACTTGTTTCGTACACATTATTAGTAGTAGTACTATTATTAGTAGTATTAGTATTAGTATTTTCCTGTCTTAATAAACTGTCTTTATTCACTCACAGGCTTCACTTTCCCGTTTCTGTCCCCCATCCCAGAGAGTGAGGGGGAAGGGTGAGAGAATGGCTGTGTGGTGTTTAGCTGCCGACCAGGTTAAACCACAACACCAACGAAAATGGGAAAAATGGAGCTAAAGCTGCAAATAAATAAATGAATTGAAAGAAAACTGGAAAAGCAAATTAGAAGATGTGACAATACTGGATAGAGGTGTCGGGTTTTGTTTGTTTGTTTGTTTTGTTTGCTTATGTGTTTTTTTTTATTATTATTATTTTTTATTTTTTTAAATGGTTACTCGAGCCACAGGGAAGGCCGGGAAATTAAAGTACCTGCAAAACTCAGAGAGAGTTTATTCGTATCTGAAGCTTCAGAAAGATCACATCTAGGTATTACTAACAGGAAAGGTTTATCTTTCATTGTAAGTGACAATCAAATTGGAAACAATTGGAGAATTTTTATTGCAAAAATTGCATATAGGGTCCTCCCACTGTGAGAATATTTTAATTTGCAATTTTTAACCTGACAAAATGATTTTAATAGAATACACTGATTGCAATGGTAAGTATTAATTATGACAAATAAATGGTAAACACTGCACAGGTAAATGCACCCCCAGCAAGCCTTGCAAAATCCAAGAAGGACAGAGTCTAAGTTTAACCACAAAGAAATCCAGACATGTTAAGAAATGTGACTGGAATTATGTGACTAGCAAATCCTCCAAAAATCATCCCTTGCTAGAAGAGTAAATGTGGAAAGCATATTTTGTCTTCTTAATCCATAACAGAGACTGACACATCTTCTGAAGAATGAACTGCAATTCTTTCTAAACTATGGAACCTTGACTGGAGACCAGGCATGTGGTCTGAAACACACCAAGCATGCAAGTGGAACAACCAGCTTACAAGGGGCATGCCTATGCATTTGTGCTTAATGAATTTTGGTGTTTGTCACAATGGCAGAGAAACCTTGATCTTCTTTGATTTTTAATTCCTAAAAATAAATGAATAAATGAATCAGAAGAGCTCCTTTCCGTAAATAAAAACACTCAAATAGGCAGATAACAGAGAGGTGGGTAGATGTCTGACAAATGCTGGCTGTTTTTTTTTTCTCCCATGGTTTTCTGGTTTCTGAGTCAGTACATTTTCTTTATCCTGTCTCCCCATAGATGATCTGTCCTTCCCGAGTCAGCTTCCAGTGCAGGGAATGGTTTCCATTTCTATTTTGCCATACTTAGGTAATTGCAACTTTTTCTCTGGATGTGTGAAAAGAGCTGGTAGTCTTGACAACCGCATTATAAATTGTGGAGACACATGCTGTTGATGCTCCAATGTAAGAAGAACTTAAGCCTCCAAAAATTTTCATGGTGTACAACATAAAAGGACCTTTTTATCCTTGTCTTACAGACATGAGTTAGGATGGAGATCACTCA